TAACATATAAAGTCCGAAATTACATCATAGAAGTTAAAAGTTTTTAACAACATGGTGAAGCAAAGTTTTCAACAAAAAGATTTCAAATATAAATATGGTTGATGTCGTTGCGCCCCGAACATAAACGTTATCAGTTAACCTTTCTTACCCCTGAAAAGCATAATAAAACAAGGTCAACTACAAAGAGCTGGTGAGTTCACAGGTTTTCAATATTACAAACCTTCTTTTGCATAAGCGAATATGAGCAAATTAAATTTTTAATGGCACTTAATTTACTTTGAAAGAAAATCTTGAATTGTTCAAGGCAATTTGTACTCTAATTTTAAGTATATAAAGAGCCACCACTAAACCTTTCGACCCCATAAAACGGTTTTTAATTCTACCTTAGCGGTGGGACTAATACCCCACATATGTAGAACCTTTGTTTTTTAAGTATAGTGCACCCTTACCTGTAGTTTCTAGGTGGGATTGCTATCCACACCCCTACTTATCGGTTTTTAGGTGGGATTGTTATCCACACCCCTACTTATCGGTTTTTAGGTGGGATTGTCCGTCCAAATAGCGCTATCCACAAATACCCTCGGCTCCTCACTTGAGTTAATAGTAGTGTACAAACTTTTCTGTTACATTTTACTCAATATAACTATTAGTGTACATGCCTTRRTRCCCACMACATCAAATTAACAAAATTTCATATTCATAATGAAAATAGCTCATATAACACATTCAATCATGCTTTTCACCCCAAAGTATAATAAATACTTTGAAAAAGGGGCTGTGAATACTCACCTTTTGCAAAGCTCCGCTAAACAAAAACACAATCCGGTCCCCACACGTTGGCTTAACGTTTCCCTATCAAAGAGAAATATCCAAAACCGTCACTTATGGGTTTAAAACTACTTATGGGGATTAATAAGCCTTAATCCTATAATTGTCTACATATGTCCAACTTGATTATCTATAGTCCAATTATACATAATGCACATATGCTCGTTAATATAGTAATTTATACCGGAAGTAATGTTATAATCCAATAAATGATCAAAATTTATAAAATCAAATAATTCCAGAATTTCACTTTTGGACAGAAACTAATACTACTAAAAATGATCAATTTATAGAGACTTCTAAAATGACATAGTTTTCTATATTTTTATATGGGATATAGTACTGAGTTAGGGTCATTGTGACCAAATTTCATGCATTTTGGACATGTAAAAATGATTCAAATAATTTATGCAATACAATATGTCACAATTGCTATGACAGATTACACCATGTTAGTAAAATACTCATTTGAAGAGTTCTACTAAGTGTTTTGCAAAAATTCCAGTTGGATTATAAACTCAACACCTAAATGAAACTTTTAAGATAAGAATCACTCATTTTGGGTGAGTTAAGAGGAAGATATGGCACCATAAAGTTATATGCACACATCTATCATTAGTTGACAGATTGCACACTTAATTTTAATAAATTGGTTAATGCCTCAAAACTTCATATTTTTTAGTGAAACTTTGTTCATATGAACCCTAACTCATAAAAGAATATTTCAGAAGAAGAATCATGTACTATGAGCAAGTAATAAAAGAGATATTAACACAAAGTAGGATCTACCTACTGATGGTTTCACAATTTGCACACCTAAAGTGTTTTAGGTTTTTGGAGGTCAAAACTCCATATTTTCATGTGATTCCAATTGTGTGCAGAAGATAACTCATATAGTTAACTCTCAAAGGAAGAATAATCCTTTTTCATTGAGTTTTGAAAGAGATATGGTCATTAGAACATGCATATACAAATCTGTCAGTTTCGGACAGATTGCATACTCATTTTGTTTTGAGTAGTTGAAACATCAAATCACCATATTTTTAAATGAAATCAGTGGCATTTGAAAGGTAACTCATTAAATTAACTTTCAGAAGAAAAATCAATGATTTTGGATGATTATTTAGAGATTTATGGTTGTTTAAAGTAGGGTTTACCTACTGAAAAACTCCCAGATACACATGCATCTTGTTTTGAGTATTTGGGGAGTCAAAACTCAATGTTTTTGAGTGAGACCAATTGGATTAAAACCCCAACTCAATAAATGAACTTTTAGAAGAAGATTCATGACATTTGAACATATTATTTGCAAGAAATGGATGATTTATGCACATGCATGAAATCTGTCAGCACTTAAAATGCCATTTTTTTAGAAATCAAACCCACATGCAACATGATTTTACCTATTTTCTTGAGTTCTAATGTTTGGGTCATAGATTACCACCATCATATGAACATTTTTACATGTGTTTGGTGTGTAATCTCTCATTAAAACTCAGAATTATCGGAGGTTAGAAGAAAGTAGTTTAAAATGCAAGAAAAATGGGTTTTTCCCCCAAAGTTTGCAAAAAAAAGGTGGAGATGAAGTTGTTACCTTGATTGATGATGAGAAGGATGTGATATCTTCAAAATCCTTGCTATTTTGATGGATAAATATGGAGAAATTGGCTGAATATGAAGGATGAAGAAGATGATCTAGAGTATCTCTTGAGTTTAGAGAGAGAGTGGGAGTTTCATATTTTGAAAAGGTGAGAATGAGTTGTAAATGGGAAAAATTATAATATTTATGTATTGATAATAGGAGGGAGGGGAGGGGAGGGGGTGGCCGGCCATGGGGGGCCCAAGCCCAAAAATATAACTTTTTTTTATTTTAATTAAATTTAAGCCCCAAAATTGTTAAAATGTCATTTTTTCTCAATTTTGACATTTTTCTTCAAATTATAAACTCATGATGGTTAAATTCATTTAAATAAAAAGTTTTATATTTAAAACACTAAAACTTTGTTTTTTATATAAATTGGGTATAAATTGGAGCATTTGGCACTATATAGGACGTTTCAGATAGTTATGGGTTGGAACCAGACTTTCTAAGCAACTACCGTAAACTCTAAAAAAAATTCGGCTAATCTAATCTAACTAACTCCTAATCTTATAAATTATCTTTAATAACACTAATATAAACTTAATAAGAGCTAACCTGGAAGCTCAAATTTGACAGTTGTCACACGATTTCTGTTTGCTTCCAGTTTCTGCTTATCGATTACTGTTGTTGCTTCCCGTTTTCGTTTAACGATCTCTGCTTGCTTCCAATTTCTGCTTATCAATTACTTGTTGTTGCTTCCAGTTCGTAACAATTTCTTCGACGCCTGTCTTTTCCAAATCGATTATTGATTCGAGGGACGTTATCGATTTCTTCGGGCATGTCGTTTTCCCAGAGAAGAAGACATTTCTTTTGCAAATCGAATTCTCATTATTGTCGTTCTACAAAATCGATTACTGATTCAAGGGATGCCTATCGTTTTGCCAGAAATAAAAGAAAGAGAAGAAGAAACCCTAGAACAAGTCTGCGTCTTCATTTAAAATACCCATTCTCTCTCTCTCTCTCTCTCTCTTCTTCCTGAGATGAAGGAGTGTGTTCAAACAGATAAGATATTAAAGAATAATGTTTCTTTAATATTTCTCTCGTTATCAATAAATCTTGGAGACTCCGCCAAGAAGGAAGGAGGAAATAAACCAGAGAGGACCTTTTTTACTTATTTTATCTTGGATTTTTTCCTTATTATATATATATATATATATATATATATATAATAGTTTTGTAATAAAAAAGACTGATGCAACAAAAATTAAAAACGAAATCTATTGAAAATATCAATATTTACACGTTTTATGTTTATATATGATTTCATAAATGGTAAACATTTTTTCCTCATTAAATGTTAATTTTATGTTTATATATGATTTCAAACAGATAATTTTATGTTTATATGATTCCATTCCTTCAGAAATCTTTCTGCGAACCAAACGCCCTCTTAAGTTCCAAGTTGTAGGTTGTTCGGATTCGGGAGGAGTTCGGATAGGGTGGTTTCAAGGTAGATTCAGGTTGGGTGATGTAAAACTTTCAAATGACCATAAAGCATAAACTCTTGGGAACTCAGGACATGATAATTTGCAGGGCTCATCGAGTCATGGTGGAAGTTCATTCACGTTGACATCCAGTGATCTAGTCCCAACTTCCCTCTTCCCAAACTCCTAAGGCACAACATCACAACATGCGGTGTTATTAAGGCCTGTTTACCAAACGCTTAACCAGGTAAGTAAATGTTTATCAGAAAAATTTAACACTATCACTTACTTACAAGGTAATATTTTAGTACACCAAAATGGTATCATATGCAACAATTTACCCAGTAAATGTTAATCGTGGTAAGAGTCGTCATCTTCACTTACTGGGTAAGACTAGGTCCTTGCTTTTGCTCTTACGGGATAAAATTCTTGGTCCTTACATATTCATCGATAAAATAATGTAACTTGATAAACGCTTACTCGAACAAACATTTAGTAAACGGCCAGAATAATGAGTCCAAAATCATACATGGAGAAGAAAAGCAAAAGCAATGAGTACACCTTGTTTTCTTATTACCTTTGTTCATGGATAGAGGACATGATCCCTCTAGAAAACAAACATGGAAACCGATACCTATAAACAATTTAGCATAATAGAATCTATGGAAATAGGATCTAAGCGTAATTAGGGTAATCGGATATTTGAGTGGATTTGAGGGCCCAAAATACAAACCACCCGAATCTTATAATCGTACAAAATCAAATATCGAATATCACGTTTCAAGGAATAACGAATATCCACTTAGAGGGTGTTTGTGATTGCTTATTTAAAACAACTTATGTTTTTTTATAAAAATACTTGTCAACTTATTATAAGTCAGAAGAGTTTAACTTTTTCAAAAATTCTTATTACCAGTTTGGTATCGGTATAAGTTGTTTATCCAAACACTCGAAAGTGTTTATTACCGTTACCATAATGAAATAAGTCAACAAGTTGTTTTATTAGCAATCCCAAAACACACTTAAATGAGGGAGTTTGGATTGCATAGGACGATTTATTTGGGTGAGGTCGAGTTTTACACACCCTTAGACCCAAGCAGTCTATTGTGTATTTGTGGTCTGATTTAGCAGGTTTGATCACTTGCAATTAAATCCTTTTACAAACCAACCAAACACAATACATGGTCAATCTAAAATTAAATTTCATTCCGATTGATTTTGAAATATTCCAATGTCTTAATTCAAACCAATTTGATTGCGAACCCGATCTCTTCAACGTTTGCCTTCATAGCTCAAACCTCTGTTTTGGGTTTCTCAGGCTTCTTCTCGACACCTCCTTGAATTGAAAACAGCTTCGTGACACCTACCCATTACTGGAAACTCCGACTTCAATGGCGTGCTTAGTCTCCTTGTGCTCCTTCACGCATTTCACTTCACATGAAACCCTAATTCAGGTATGGTCATCCCTTGAATTGCCTAGATTACGGAAATGGAATTAAAATTTTGAACTTGGAACTCTTCTTATTTTTTGATAGGCTGCTCCATTTACATTTTCAGTTACTTTTCAATTTAGTTGAAGATTCTTGTGACCTCTTCTTCGTTTGACCACTGAGGTCTAATGGGGGATTTTGTTTGCTAAAAAATTGGTCAGTAGTTCACTAAATTACTAGGTCTATAGGTAAAAAAAACATGGTTTTTGACCACATGGACTGAAATAGTTTTGTTGGCAGGAACTAGAAAGCAAAGTGGAAGTAGAAGTTCCTTCTCTTCTGCCTTTGTTTACTTCCTTTCTGAAACTAATGAGTAATGATATGCATTTGATGTGGCAACCTTTCGCAAGGAGGATTCTATCATTGTGCAAATACTATTAAAGATATATAAGAATCTCTATTAACATGTATGTAAGCATATGAAGTTGATATATATATATATATATATATATAAATCTTTATACATGTATGTAACCGACCTCTTGGAAGGAGGATTCTATCATTTTATAAAGCTACATCAATAGTTCAATTAAATGCTTAATTGTTGTTTAAGATACGGATTAGCTTTACAGAAAAAAACAAAGATGCAAGTGTTTCTTATTGATGCAATAGACACTATGATAAATGCAAAGTTGAGGGTTTGGATAACACCTTGAAATATGATGATTTCAAATTACGTTGATTTTCTGTAACCTACGGGTGTTCTATCTCTTTGTGTTATTTATCTGATTTCCTGTACGGTCTCTCGAATACCCATTTTGTCTATTTGACATTTTGTCCATAAAAAGGGTTTAAATGGAAGACCATAGATTGTGATAGCCGTCTTCGAATTAGAGACCTGAGAACATATACTTGCATAAAGTCTTCATTAGTTTGTTCTAGAGAAAGATATTTCCATAAAAAAGAGCCCATATTTAGAGGGTAGTATTGTCTTCTTCTAGCGAATATTCAAATGAGTTCTCATGATCTGCTCTGCTATGATGGTTTACTGGTTTAGTCATTGCTACAAAATTATTTTCCATCCTCCCGACAATGGCTCTGTATTTTAATGCTCAGAATTAATATTTTGATGTTCTCATGATTTTTTCAAGTATATAATATACATGTGCTCAAAGCTCATTTCAAGTGGGATTTACTATGTCAGTTTGGTTTGGTTTTTTATATGGAAAAACTCACACACACTCCTTACCTTTGGTGAGACATGACCCCTTGACCCCGAAGGAGGTTGGGATCAACTGGTGCCTGGCCATTAACCCTTTGGTTCATATGATTTATATTGATAGAAATCCCAATCTTTAAGAGGTCTTGTACTGTTTCACTTTTGATGATTGAAAACATCGCTATGTTTGTAAATTTTGTAGGATTTTGATCTTGTCTAGTTAATTTGTGAGTCAACAAACCATTAGTCAAGCTTGAATTTAGTCATGCTAGTTTGGCATATATCAATGCCACCGATTTCTTATTATGCTTAGGAAAAATAAATTGCCTTCTCTGTGATTGAAGTATGTCTTCTAAATCATAATTACTTTCATGGATAACCCTATGAAGGAATCTTGTTAACCGGATAATGATATGCTTTGTGAAGTTCATTGTTGGATTTTGTAATAGTGACGACTTCTATTTCCTTTTAATGATCAGATTTACGATTGAGTCTGAATTGAGAATGCTTAACTTTGTCTCATTGGGCTCATAATTTACAAAAAGAAAATGTGGAGTTCTGCTATTGAACTTTTGGCCGAGCTCATATGTGATTTGACCTGATCTTTCACTTCCTTGTATTATTCTGATTTCCCTTGGTTTCTCATCTCATGAGTCATGAGTGGTGCTTGTATGTTCATAAAACAATTGTATTTGGATTTTACATTTTTATCCCAACTTCTGTTCCATATAGTAGCACTCATCGGGAATCTCCGTTAGAGTAAACTGGTATGGGAATCTATCTTAGAGTAAGGGCCTGTTTGTTAGCTGCTTAATGAGACTTGCAGCTTATTCGGTTAGCTATACATGACTGTTTGGTAGTGGCTTAATGATATAGAAAATGGCTTATTCAGTAAGCTTCTAGGGAGGAGCTTTATGCATAAAGCCAAGTTTTTTGTAAACCTGCCCTTCCCAATTAAAAAACCCTCTCCTTCCATCTATGAAAAAACCCTCTCCTTCCATCTATGAAAAAACCCTCCCAAACAAAAACCTTCCCAATCTAGACAGACAAATTAATCCACACAGATTGCTTTCTTTGTGAAATTGTGATACATCATTGTTGTTGATATCAGCCTTTGTGATTGATAGTGGTTCAGTATTAGTAGGGGTCTTTTGTCCAAGGTGAATTGTCCTAGCGGTAAGGATGTCGGAATCCATAAGTGAGGTCTCGGTCGAATTTGGACACCATCCACTGCCTTACCAAGATTTTCATCCCTCATGATGGCCTGTGCTGTGTGGGCGCTCCAGAGGGTGGCCTATACTCTTGAAGTAGGGGTCTTTGTTGATGAGTCACCAGAATTCCTTGTATTCTTTTAGCTGATTGGTTGTGAATTTGTGATAATTGGCTCGACTCTGCCTGTTTTCACTATGGCTAACCAAGTAACCAACCATGCTGTAGATGCATCATTGTCTGAAAGATACCACTCTTGGCGACATTTAACACTTGCAGGCATGACTTATTTTTAAAGGTCACTTCATAGATGACCAAACCAGACTTATATGCCATTAAAAGTTGAAAAGGTCCACTGATCTTTTTGCCTTTTTTTTGTTTTTGTTAAAGAATCTACAAGTACGATACCCAAACAGTTGCAGGCTGCTTTTGAGTTCATCAACGTGCTTAACAGGTATGTCCTTCACACTTCTGTATCCTTCATAAATATGCTTATAGATTAAATTATAGATGCAGGATCGTGTGAAAATAGGAGGAGTTAAGGTGAGAAGTGTAAAAAGGGATCTGAACCCTTGATCACTTTTAATCTCACCCCCACCACATGAATTGCGCTTGATACGGGAATTGATCCGGTGCACTCGTTACTGTTGATCTTCAATTAGGATTGATCCAAGTCTGGAGATCTATTCTTACCCTTCTCACTTTAACTTCCTATATATGTTTATAGATAGATATGCAGATGGATGTATATCTATACATAGGGTTGGATTCTGGTGAGATGGAGAGTTAAGATGGGGAGTATAAGAAGGGATCTCCACCCTTGGATGCACATTAGGATGAGATGCACCGAGATGCACCGGATCAATCCCCGTATCAAGAGCGCTTCATGGGTGGGTTTGAGATTAAAGGTGATCAAGGGTCCAGATCCCTTCTTACGCTTCTCACCTTAACTCTCTTTCTCACACGATCCTTCGCCTCTACACATATACCTATTTACATATGTATTTGTGTGTTCAGTACATTGGGGACAAAGTAGCAAACAAAGAAGTCAATAGAAAGCATGTGTCTTAAGGCCAGGGCCCAGCCGCTGTCCGTCATGAAACAGTAAATCTTGCTCGTGGCTGTACCTGGTCTAGAGGATCAATTTCCGGGCCTGCTTTGGACCAGGACGCCAACCTGATCCTAGACTGGTATTTTCTTTAAAATGCAAATCAGAGGAAATGTAGCACATTTGTTAAACAAGACCTCATAATATTTATTAGGAGATACAAAATAAGATTATGTATAAACATAGCACATGAGAAATGGTAATAAAGAATTAAAAATTATCAAAACTTTAAATACTGAAAATTATACAACAAAGGATGAACTTTATTGTTTTCCTATAACCCAAAATTGATCAGCTCAAAATTGTGATTGCAATTGACCAGAAAATAAGGTCAGGACGGAGTTGAAGGTCCAAAACGGTCCCTGTCTGGACCAGGCTTTGCTATTTCTTAGAAGGATCGGGTCCATACCTTAGTCCCCACCCTTTTTTGCATCTCTATTCAGAATTTATAATATGTACATACCTTTCTGGGGGACTTCATGGAAACAATCGCTCTACTATTTGGGGTAGAGGTTAGGTCTGCATACATCTCACCGAGTCCCCACATTTGGATCAGATATGCTGGGCTCTTTTGGTTTGTTTTTTTATGTAGATGTTTCCTTTTAGCATAGCAGTGTTGCAGCCATGCACTTGGTTGCTAACTTGCTCCCTTCACCACACTCATTAGTAGCCACATATCCCTTATTTGATCATGTGATAGGATTCCTTGATCTGGATGTTTTCTATTCTTCATTTTCATAGGCACCTTCAGATGATAGTAACTTCTTGAGCAAATAAAAAGATGTCCAGTGAAAATTTGAGCATTTATAAGTTCGAGTACTAATTTTGTGCTCCTTGAGATTGTTTATGCTACCATCATTCTTACATGAATGATTGTGATGAAAAAATGTAAACAATTTATATGGTATTGGGTTTGTTCCCCATTGGCCACCCGTTCAAGTCCCCTCAGGCTCATTGGAGGCTTTCCCGACTGTTAAATTCAGGACCCTGTGGGATCGGTCGATTGATGTGTGCACAATTTGGCCTAGACACTCATAAGCCTGTTTGTTAGCAGCTTAATGAGCTTAACGGGACTCATAATTTATTTCGTCAGCTATATATGACTATTTGGTAGTGGCTTAATGACATAGAAAATGGCTTGTTCAGTAAGCTTTTAGGAGGGAGCT